TTTAAATTCTAGTGACTGATACCTTTCTAGATTAGAACATGTATCCTTGGCTTTGTAACAGTATAATAGGTGCTGTTATACCTTCTGTTGCTTATTCTACTATTGTATCAGTTATGTCGCATATTTTCAGAGTTAGTTTTTGCTGTAATTTATTCTTCTTTTTATAGATATTAGTAGAAAAGGTACTACCTTTTGTATTTACCCATGTACTTAATACAGTTCTTTTTTTTTGCTTTCATCTTTGATTTCTCATCATCTCAAAGAACTTTCGTTTAGTGTGTCTTTTATGCAAAATCTGTTAGACTGTTAGAAACAACTTTGAACATGTGTTTGGTTTTACTTCTTTTACAAAGGAAAGAATATCTTTGTTGGTTATAGAATTCTAGGTTAAAAGAGGGTTTGTTTTCTTTCATTTCTATGAGGATATTCTGTTACCGTCTGACTTTAGTTTCTGATGAGAAGCGGTTAGAATTTATGCCTCTGCATTTTATGGATTGTTCTGCTCTGGCTGTTGCCAAAGATACACAAAGTAGATGTGATTCAAAAGCAGCAAAAACAGATTTTATTCAGTAACTGTTACAGCAAAGGAATGACTGAGTTTATGACTTACATAGAGATGACTGGGCATTAAATGGAGAAAGAGGGAGTAGGAAGTCAGGGTGGGGGCTCAGGCAGAGTCAAGAATGTGAAAATTTACAAAAAGCATTAAGGGCTATTCAGTGTCACTGGGATTGGGCTCTGTGTGTGCTGATGTTTATTAAAGTTAGGTTTGTACTCTCACATTGGGAGACAGAGGCCTTCCTGATGATTATATTTTAAAGGAATGACTTTCAGGAATGGAGAAAAACTCTTGATTTGTAGGTGATAAATATGTCTTTCCAAGAGAGTAGAAGGATTTGTAGTATAATAGCTCTAAAAAAGGGAGGACAGTAGCCTTTCATTAGGTGTTAGGTGGAACAAGTGGTAACTTCTTTTGGAAGCCTTCAGCTTTTACAGACAGGAGCTTGAGTGGGTGGATTGGCCACTGGCTTAGGCTGCTAGAAAGCATGCTGGATAGGGTGGTCAAACCATAGTGGAGGAGTTGAATTGTTCATGCCTTGAGATTTTGCATTTCTCATTGCTTCCACAGTTCTCTTATGTTAGCAGTTTGACAGTGATTTACCTGAGTATAATTGTTTTTTCAACTTGTGAACTTTTTGGGTGCATGAAATTTAGTTTTCTATTAAGTTGAAAAATGCTCAGCTGTTTTCCTTTTTATGTTTTGGGGGGTAGATATAAGATTTATTGATGAACTTGTTAAGTGGGGGAGCAGCACAGTAGAAGCCTTCAGGAGTGCAGGGCCCGTCACTTCAGGGGACCACAATTTGGGATGTACCCTGCAGCCATCAGGGATTAGGCGTTGCTTGGCCACCATGTCTTCAAATTCATCTGCGTTGAACTTGGTGAAACGCCACTTCTTGGAGATACGGATTTTCTGGCGGCCAGGGAACTTGAACTTGGTCCTGCGTAGGGCTTCAGTCACATGTTCCTTGTTCTGCAGCTTGGTGCAGATGGACATGATGACCTGTCCAATGTGAACCCTTACCACTGTCCCCTGGGGCTTCCCAAAGGCACCCTGCATACTTGCCTGGAACCTGGATTGAGGATGGCAGGAGGTCAGCTACACAATCATCCACCAGGAGTGTCTCCAAGGTCTCTTAGGGCAGCCCATATGAGCAACAGCTTGTGTACACTACTGAAGAGGTTGCTGTCCACAGCCACTGCGCACTGTGCACCCATTAGCAAAGGAACCTAGTCAGCTTAATCAGTTGCAGCTCCTTTTTCATCTAGTATTATTTTAAATATATTTTCAAGCCTTTTCTATTTCTGCAACTGCATGTTACTGAGATTATTCATTTTGTTAATCACTTTTATTTTGATTCTTCTAATTTGGTAATTTCTAAATTTATCTTTAAAATCACTGACTCATTTGTCTTTAACCACCAGATTAATTTTAATTTGTTATTTATAATTCCTGCATTTCTGTTTTACTCATTTTAATAGTTTCAATTGCTCAGCTGAGATCTGTTCATTAAATTAATAAACATATTAATAATACTTCAAAATCCTTGTCTGCTAGCTCATCTTGGCATCTAATCTTATTGATACTTAAGTTTTGACTAAGGGTAACATTTTATTTATGCACGTTTGATTGTTTTCGGTCATATTCTAGATATTTGAGATGAACATTTTAGAGTCTCCAAATTCTGTTATCTTCCTTGGAAGAGTTTCATTTTTTGTTCTAGCAGGTGGAGTTTTGTGTGACCTCATAATCCAAACTGTTTTTTGCTATAAGCAACAGTTGAAATCTTAGTTTTTTCAGCCTTCCCAGTGCTAGTTTCAACAGAATCCTGAGTCTGTTCATAAGGATTTGAGCAGAGTTCCTAGTCACATTTTAATTTCCCTCCCCAAAACTCCTTTATTTACATTTAAAAGTTTTCTCTTTGAGTTGTGGTTGCCCTATTAAGCATAGACTAGAGAGTGCCCTCAGGTACAAAGCCATGGAGAAGCATCTCTCACACAATGTTTCTTCTTCCACAGATTGATATCCCTTCAGTTGTTAGCTGTTTGTAGTCTTTCTCTACTGTGTTCAAATAATTAGTTAATTAATTGTACTTGATTCAGAGTTTATTATATATCTAGTTGAAAGTTTATGTAATTGAAGCTGCTGTCCTATTACAAGCAGAGCCTCTACTCTGTTTTGTGTGTTCTTTTGCTATTTGCATACTTTTTAAAATTACTGAGCACTTATAGTATATTTCAGAATCCGGTAGAGCAACTCTCTACTTTTCCTTCTCGGTCTTCCTGGTCATCCTTATTTATTTTGGTGTGTTTTACTTGTAATAATCTTTTCTTTTTTTGAGACAGGGTCTCACTATATAGTGCAGGCTGGCCTTGAACTTGCTTATGTAGCCCAGCTTGGTCTCGAACTCAGTGATCCTCCTGCCTGAGCTTCCCAAATGCTGGGATTACAGGTCTTCTCCACTACACTGGGTTGCTTGGAATATTCTTATCAGGATCTAAAGTGTTGTTTTTATTGAAATTGCATCAGATATGTAAATTTGATAGACGATATTTCTATGATAGTATCTTGTACAGAGGACATGTCATTTTTTCTTTAGTGTACTTTTAAAAAATTATGTTACAAGTGTTTCTTTGTATAATTTTGACATTCATAATTGCATTTATTCTAGTTTTATATATTTTATAAATTGAATTCTTTCTATAAATACTTTTTCTTCTGAAACAAGCAAAGACTTTACTAACTAGTAGCACATTTAATATTTTAAACCTTCTAATTTTGTGAGGGAGGTGTTACAGTAAAAGATAGAAAACTAAGGTTTGATAGCACTTGGAAAGTGGCTGAATTGTACTTAAAAGTTTGCGTCTGCTTGTAGAATGATTGCATATTCCTAAGAACTACGATTATTCTTTGGTTTATTTCAAGGCTTCGATAGAACACAATTTAAATTTTTGCTCTAATTGAGGTTCTAGTTCTTAATGTTTGTCCCAGAAGACCTCAAGTGAAATATTCTTTCCAGTATTACTGCAATAGAATAGTCTCTGATCTAAGCTTTGGTCAATCACTTTCTTAAATTATTTCCAGAGAAAAAAGAATGAGCTGTATACTTTTTCTTCCTTATCCTCAGATTCACAAGACTTTAGAGTTTAGGTGATTCAGTTGTGATTTAAACTATATTGTGCTGTATATTTCCAGTAGATTTTTGTAATTGATAATATCTTTAAAATCATTGCCTGTTTAGGAAAGGGAAAGATCTACATTACCTAGATATCCTCTTAATTTTTTAGCTTTTTGTGACTTTTGTAGTCTGACAAATTTTGTACCCTAAAAAAAGCAAAAGAATCTAAACTGTCCCAAGGTAGAAAAATTTCTGAATGTGTTTTTGTTGTTGTTTGTTTGTTTTTAATCATTATTTATTTACCTTAGCCTTTAAAGCAAGGCATGACTTTTTCGTGCAGATAGGTGGCTGTGTATGGGACTTGGGGCTCAGCATGCAAGATTATGTTGCCCAAGCACAATCAGTCATTGCTCTTTGCAATGTTAATTTCAAGTAGTTTTGTAGCAGTAAATTCTGAATTTAATCCATTGTTTATTTTAGAGGTTGTTTTGAAATATTTCTTGTTTCTGTTTGAAAATTTGATGGTCTATAGTCTGTGAGGAGTGGAATTGAATTTTAAAATTACCTTTTGACTAATTTTAGAAGTGTAGCTTGGGACCTGAGAAGACATTTGGAGTCAGAAGTTCCAGTCCAAAAGTTCCCTTAAACTCTTCTTTCCTTTCAAAAGACCTGAAATTACTTTGAAAAGCATAGTGGCTGGGAGAATAAGGAGAATTGTATCTGGATTGCCCATGTTCTAGAAAGAAATGTGGAAGAAAAATTTTAAGGTGGTGTGCTTTTTTAGAATGACTCCAAAATCTGTTTATCCTTTCTAGGGATAAGAAAGCAAGAGTAACTTTCGGAAGCTGAATGTATAGGTATTGCAACAGAATAACTTGAAAATCTTAACTGTAGATATGTCTTTTGGAGTTGGGATTTTCCTATACTAAAAATACCGATTAAGATGTTTTTAAATTTTTTAACAACTGATAAAATGAAGCATTTTAGTAAGGCTAATAGTATAGATAGTAGGTCTTTTGTTTGAATAAAGGAAGTGGAAAGGGTAATATAGATATGATTTCATTAAGCTAGAGAACATTAGTGTTCACATTTTGAGAACATAACCATAACTTATCTGGAGTCACATGTTCCATTTTATTGGCTTCCTTCATATAGAAAATATAGTAACTAGTGCTAAATGCCTGTGAAAAAATGCAAAGTAATGTATATTTTCTGGGTGAAGGAAGTATTCTGTACATTCTCCATGTTTTACATCATGGTATTTTGAATAACCATGCTTCCATGTTCACATCAATTTTTTGTTTTTCAATTTATGCACAGCACTTGCTCTGAAATTTGGGGACTGAGTACACCAAATACGATAGATCAGTGGGATACAACAGGCCTTTACAGCTTCTCTGAACAAACCAGGTGAATATTCTGCCCTCTGTCAATCCTAGAGATCTTGTGGGAGGGGGGGTTGTTTTGGAAGACCTCTACTGGGTTGCTTAGTATAACTTTGCCTAGGATGTTTCTTTAATGTAAAATAAGGCATAGCATTTAAACTATGTGCTTGCCAGTGTGAAAAATATATTAAATGTTTCAACTGATGTTTCGATCAATGCAATCTAGTTTTGTATCTTCTTTAAATTGAATCCCCTAAAGGATAAGAACTTTGATAACTACTGATTATAGTTCAATTTTAGATTAATCTGTTGGCCTAATTTTTAAGCAAATACATGATCAGTTTTTGCTAAATTTTTTGTTAATCTAAATTTCATGTTTATATACTAATACAAAATTATTTACTGAACTATCACAATTAACAATAGGCTAACTCATTTTTATGTTACCTTTTTTAAAAAGTCATCTCATTCTCTTTAAGTATATTGGTATTTGTCCATTTCATCCCATCATTTTCATTACCATCTGCATTTATGTGTGAACGATGTAAATATACCTCAGTTATCAAAACAGTGACAAATAATGAGTTATGTTAGTCTGAGTAAGGTAATATCATATCATCGTTGATATTTATCATTCTTCACACTACTTCCTTTTTTTGGCTATTAAGTTACCTATGAAATTAAGACTTTTTGAAGCATCTCTAAAAAATAATTTAATTTATTAAAGATAGATACTGACAAAAAATTTATCAAGACCATATGATATTCTTTTCAAAAGAAGAATTTTCCCCAAGTGGTTAGCCTTTCATTGGCATTTGAGTCATTTATGTAGCATATTGTTGGGAAACATCTGCTAGTGCTGCTGCTTATTTTACCAGATCCTTAAAGAGTACACTTTTCTTCCTGGCTCTTGCTAAAACTAACTAAATGGCTCATTCCTTTCTTTATACATTCCTTTCTTTAAGTGTTTCACCTCAGCCCATGAGGCTATACTTATTTTTTTAAAGTTTACTCCTTTCTTTTGCCCTTACTTCCCCATAGGTCTCTTGATGGTCGTCTTCAAGTTTCACATCGAAAAGGATTGCCACATGTTATATATTGTCGTTTATGGCGTTGGCCTGATCTTCACAGTCATCATGAACTCAAGGCAATTGAAAACTGTGAATATGCTTTTAATCTAAAAAAGGATGAAGTATGTGTAAACCCTTACCACTATCAGAGAGTTGAGACACCAGGTAGGACAACTACAGAACTTTTTTCAGTTTTAAATTAATGCCTAAATTTAAGTGATATTTAGGTGCTCTTGTGGCTTGGGTAAATTTTAGTGTAAAATTCTAAGTATTTTAAATCAGGCATATTTGGTAGTTAAAAATTAAAAATGCTGTTTTGTTTTCTAGTAAGAAAATATATCTTAGAGGGAAAGATAACATCAGTTTCTTGGAACAGTATACTATTTGACATCTAGATATATATATCTAGGAAATCCCACAGGTTCACTAACTCTTTATAGCAAAACCAGTAGATCTCTGTATAATTCTGTTTAGTACCTGTTTTCAAGCATTTTGTGTTTTTGAGTGTATTCAGGAGTAAGATTAATGACAACATTTCTATATAAGCCATTTAATAGCAAGACTTCTCACTTAGTTGTGCTTGAAATGTTTAAAAAACGTCATTTTTAGAAAAATTTCCTAAATCTGACTTTATAAATTAAGACAAATCTTTCTTCAACTTTTCCAATGGAGATTTATGAACTTCTATGATAATACAAAACAAGTTCACATTATCTCCAAAAGTATAAGAAAAATGCAAACTTGGAAATTTAAATGGTCAACAGTGTGAGTTAAAGCCATAATTAGATTAGCAGTTTCTGTGTAACTAGCATAATACCAAATAGGTGGACCTTAACTTTTAAAAACTAAGCTGCTGCCTTCTTTCTTGTAAAAATTTTTAATAAGGCTCTTCCCCCCCACCCCCGCCCAATACCTTTTTTGCTCCTTGCCACTAACTCCGGTCTCTCTTTGACTCTTGTAGTTTTGCCTCCGGTATTAGTGCCACGGCACACTGAGATTCTAACAGAACTACCACCTCTGGATGATTACACCCATTCCATACCAGAAAACACTAATTTCCCAGCAGGAATTGAGCCACAGAGTAATTACATCCCAGGTATTTTTGCTTTCTGAATCTACTAAAACTTAAGATAAAAATTCTGTGATAAACATTTGGGCATTAGTAAATTTACTTTTTGAAAATGCTTCTGGGATTAGGATAGAAAAGTCTGATATAACGGGTAATTGTTTTGTGAAATATATAAGCATAGTACAATAAACAGTTTTGTTTGGAGACAGGTTTTACTTTATGTTACATTTTCATTTGAACTGACTTTGAGAAGCAGAAGAATCTTAATTGGTCTTAGTTGTTGAAGCTGAGAGAGATGCAGAATGTAAATAAAATAGTACAGGAAAAAAAGTATTGTTGTAACAAATACAACTAAAACTCTACCAAATAATCACGTTTTCTTAGGGAATTTGATAATGTTTAAGATAAATGTAGCATTTTTTTAACACTGGGGTGTAATTCTTAAGTGTAATTACCTGGCAGCTCTGATTTGAATTCATTTGTCCCACCAGCTTGAACTGCTAGTGGTATGTGCATGACCGTTCCATTGTGTGGCTTGTACCACTGTTAGTACAAATGGGTCCAATTACTTTTATCAGTCTTTTTACAAATAAAATTAATAAAAATGTCCATAAATGGACCAAATGTAGTTAGTCGCTGGAATTTACAGCCCAAAGGGACAGTCATGCATGTACATCTGGTGGTTCAAGTGGGTGGGAACGTGTTAATACAATAGGAGTTGCACTGTTTTAGTCCTGTAGATGGAACAACACTTACGTTATTCTGAAGAACAGAAAACTTTGGTTTTGGTTCTGTTTCTTACGGATTTCAGGAGCTCCTAATGAGAAATGACTTCAGTTACATGGTTCTTACTTGTATCATGTGACCCAGCAGTATATCACAGTATAGTACTTGGCCTTTTAGTTTTTACTACTTTTTAGGAGAACAGCTTATATTTTGTTGCTTTTCTTGTGTATTTCACTTTGTTTTCCCCAGAAAAATACAGGATGGAAATGTATTTCATTTTGTTTTTCCCAGAAAAATACTAGCAGAAACATACTAGGATGGAAATTAAGCTATATGCTGGATTTTTAATGTCTCAGTCCCCTCCCTTATCTAATGTTGCTGTATTCCACCCTTATTTTATAACTAAAAATATATAAGAAACATAAGCATTTTAGGTACATTTTTTAAAAAAAACTTCATTATGAAAACAGTGCTTTTTCATTGGACATGATTTTTAAAGTATAAGCAAAAGTTATTTTTTTAAAAAAAACCTGTTTTACAGATGAGAAGTGGTTTCTGATTGTCTTAAGTTTTTTGACTACTGCTTTATTCCAAAACAGGGTTTAAGGCTGTTGGTTTTGGGGGTTTGTATTTGTTTTTGTGCTAGAGATCAAACCCAGTGGTTTCATACTAAGCTACATCCTCAGCCTTTAGTTTTTCATTTTGAGATAAGGTCCCTCCTTAAATTGGCCAGTCTGGGTACGAGGTTGTTGCCTGCCTCAGCCTCCCAGAATGCTAGGATTATATATAAGCACTATCACTGCTGAACTTCAAGGCTGCATCTTAAGTTGCTGGTAAATAACAAACTTTTTGAGAAGTTAGGAGAAAAGAAGGTAGGTAGAGTATGGTGAAGGAAGATGAGAGAAAACAGTGATGCAAGAAGACATTTCCTAGACAAAAGAGGTCATTCTTTCTTTCATAAACGTGACAGAGCTGGGCGAGGTAGTGAACATGTTTGACACCAGTAGTTTGAGAGGCTCAGGTCGGAGGGACATAAAATCAAGCCAGCCTAGACAGTTTAGCGATTCATTGAGACTCAGCCTCAAAAAAGTAGGGGGTGGTATGGGGATGTAGCTCAGTGCCAAGGTCCTGGGTTTAGTGTCCAATATAGGGGGCTCTCGGGGTGGCTGGGAGTGGTGGCGTGTGTGTATGTGAGATGAGGCATGAAGGCATTTGAACTTTTTGATGTTGAAATTGCTGTTACTAAGCAGTACTAGCAAACTAAGGTATCAATATAAGTTTTGTAAAACATAATTTTAGTGGCCTTCATGTGAAGATGTTTGGACTTATTTTTTCAGTTATTTCTTCAGTTATTTAGATTTAAGTATTTATAAAATAGAAAATCAGAAGTAAATCATACCTATTAGCTTTACTGAACTGTAAGACTTTATCTAACTCAACTAACAGTGAATCAAATATTTTTCTCCTACCTGAAGAGAGATTTGAACATTTTCATAAGATACTAATAACTTTATAATTCATTTATATATGAGCAGTAGAGAAAAGTAAAGAAACATAATAGGAAAAGTTGAGTATTTTTGAGCCAGATGTGGCGGTGTACACTTGTGATCACAGCACTTTTGGAGGCTGAAGCAAGAGGATCTCAAGTTTAAGCCCAGCCTGGGCAACTTAGCAAGACCTGTCTCAAAATAAAAAATAAAGGGACTGGGGCTGTAGCTCGGTGTGAATGCTTTGGGTCCTTTGTTTTCATAGTACCATTTTGTTCAAAGAACATGTTGGAAATGATATATTAGAATCCTGTTTATTTTCAGGGGGTGTTAATGCCTCTTTTATGCAGTAGTTTATAGTTAAATTTGCTTCAAACACTTAGAATTTATAAGTTGGAAATCCCTGGAAAAATAGTTTTGAGGTAGAATTCCGGCTACACCAGTCATGAACCATGTTACTATAATTTATCACAAAACTTACTGTAAGATGTAAGCCAGTGTTACTCTTTATAATCTGAAGTTTGTGTGTATGTTTTTAAATTTTCTGTCCCCATCCACCATAACCATTAGTTGAAAAAAGGAATTTTTAGGGTACTAAGGTCTCTGAAGCCTACTGATTTGAGAACTGAAGTATCTTTGAAGTTTGGCTCTTGGCCCAGAATATGTACATATGGAAAGAACCAGATAGGTAAATATGCTGGATTGTACAAGAGGTAGAGCTTGAGAATTTACCTGCAGAATTTGTGTCAAAACCTGAATTACAACCTTTTAGTTCAATGTTTCTTTTTATAATAATGTTATGTGCCCTCTTGTTCTTTGGAGTGATTAATTGGTTATACTTGGTAGCTGGAAGAAAAGGTGAAATTATATCACATCTATATGTTATGTGTTCTAAACTTTTGTAGAAACGCCACCCCCTGGGTATATCAGTGAAGATGGAGAAACAAGTGATCAACAGTTGAATCAAAGTATGGATACAGGTAAAAAAAAAAGTCTTAATAAAATTCTATAGTGATCATATGTATAGTCAGCCCTCTGTATCCACAGGTTCAAGATTCCTGGAGTCAATCATCCACAGATTAAAAATATTTGAGGAAAAGTTGCATCTGTACTGAATATGTAGAGTTTTTTTTTTTATTCCATAAACAGTACAATATAACAACTATGTATATAACACTTAGTATGCCATTTTATATATGGGACTTGAGCATCTGCAGGTTTTTGATATCTGAACAGAGTTCTAACATCAATCCCCTGCAGATACATTGGGGCTGCTGCATCTTTCTTGTGTTGTTTGATTGTTTGTTTGTTTGTTTGTTTCCGGTACCGGGAATTGAACTCACGACCTCACGCTTACCAGGCAGGCGCTGTGCTGCTGAGCTAAATCCCCAGCTCCTCTTGTGTTGTTTGAAACTCACAAGATTTATCCCACTTAAATTTTAAAAAGTTAGAAATACACCAAAAAAGAGAATCAGTGAATAAAAAAATAGATGTTCATATGCTTTTGTTGATTATGTGCCTTCTTTCTTGTTCTTTGGAGTGATTAATTGGTTATACTTGGTAGCTGGAAGAAAAGGTAGTGAAAATATTCCATACATCTATGTGAAATTTTTGTTACCCTTTGAATAAATGTGTGTCATAAAAGAATATAATTGGACCAGTAACAAGTTTTCAGAGGAATTCAAGGGTAAGGGGTGAGGATTGACTTTTTAGTGCTCCTTTAACTTAATACTTAGTGAATTCTGGATTATAATAGATTATTAATGCAAAATACCTTATACCTAATCTAATTTGATTAATTTCTGGTATTGAGTTGTTAGTCCAAGCAGTGATGGGGAATAAACTGCAACATATAATAAATATTGCACACGTCAAAGTTTTAAGGCAGTTATGATACAGTAAAAATATATAACGCAGTAGAACTTGCAGGTGTCATTAGGGAAATCATGTTAATAATATTGAAATTGTCCAGAATGATTCGTTCCATTTTGTCTGTAGCTTAAGGATTGGACATTCCTATAATGACATCTCAACAAATTCTACAATCAGCTTTTCTATCTAGCTTACAGTAACACATTCTGTAGTTGTAAAAATAATCTAAGTTTTTTGGGGGGCGGTACTGGGAATTAAACTCAGGACCTTATGCTTGCTAGGCAGGCTCTGTGCCACTGAGCTATAGCCGCAGCCCTGAATTATTTTTAAATAGATGAACATTGGCAAGGAAGAAGGAGGATTTTAAAATAATTCTGCTGTTTGAATCCTTCCGTTTTTTTAGATAGCTAGGTAGAATAGTTTTTGCAGTAGCTAATCATATTTTTGGCTGTTAGGAGCAATAGATAATCTAATGATCATTAGAAATAGAATGTTATACATCTTAATGCAAGTGATATTTGGATTTCCGGATAAATCATCTTAAAACTCCTGGATGCAGCTGGATGTGGTGGCACATGCCTGTAATCCCAGCACTTGGGAGGCTGAGACAGGAGGATTGTTGTGAGTTCAAGGCCAGCCTGGGCTACAAAGTGAGCTCAAGGCCAGCCCAAACTGTATAGCAAGACGCTGTCTCAAAAAGACCAAAAAAAAAGATGTAGGGCTATTCAAAACTCCTGGATGCTAGTAAACTCTATTGAATCAGCAGTGTTCTTTGCTCTTCTCTGATGGATAGTTGCTATTGTGACATTTAAAAGTGAATAGCATGAAAAGTAGCTGAACATTATAAATCATAATGAAGTACTGCTTATACTCACTATATGTCTGTATTCAGAAAGGCACTACCAAGAGTTGGTGAGGATATGGAAAAGCTGGAATCCTTTTGTATTGCTGGTAGAAATGTTAAAATGACTTAGTTACTTTAGAAAAGTATGCTAGTCCTCAAAAAGTTAAATTTATTACAATAGACCCCAACAGTTTTACTCCCAGCTCTAAACCCAAGAAAAGTTTAAATAGGTCCACATAAAAGCTTGTATACAAATGTAACTTGTAAGCGTTAGCCATAGTGGAAGCACCATATGTCGATCAAATGGTGAATGGATACATAAAATGAAATACGTTTCAGTAATGAACTTTACCAATATAAAGGAGTGATTATACAGTGTGAAGTGGAACAGCATGGAAGGGCCTTGAGAGGATTATGTCAAATAAAAGGAGCCAGACACAAAATGTTACAGGGATCCCAATTAGTATACAAATATCTATTTAATAATGTAACTGAAACCAGAAGGAGCAATAAAAATGAATATAATTGTTCCTTATGGTAAATGAGACAAAATTTTTAAAGGGACAAGAAGTTCAATCAGTTCATATAAACTCATTGTTGGGGCTAGCTTCGAAATCTCACCTAATTTTAATTCTATTTTAGTGGGGCACTGTTACTGACTTTCAGAATGACACATTTAAAATTACTTGATATAATGGCAATATGAATATGTCATTCATGAGGTACTGAAAGTTATCTTAAGTACCAGGTACTGAAAGTTATCTTAAGTACCAGTTAAGTTTTTATCTTAACTAACACCATCATTTCCTATCTCAGTGCCATGACAAGAAAGATAGTTCTAGCAAGTTGCAATTACTCAGGAGGCTAAGACCAGAGGATCAGTTGTGCTTAGGAGTTCAAGGCCAGTTTGGGCAAGACCCTGTTTCAAAAGGAAAAAAAATAGTTTCAATGGATATAGGGTCCAAACTGAGAATAAATTTTGCCTGCCCTGTAACTCTGGCTTCCATGGAAAAGGACATAATTCATTTTAACACCCAGCTGGGACAGAATCAATTAATATTTTCTAAAGAAGCAATCAGAGGACAAATTGAGCAGAGTAAGAAACTATACAAACAGGGCTGGGGATATAGCTCAGTGGCACAAGTGCCTGCCTGGCAAGCACAAGGTCCTGAGTTCGATCCTTGGTACCGCAAAAAAAAAAAAAAAAAAAAAGAAAATATACTAACAATCACTTGCTGCTTTTCATTTTAAAATGTATCTCTGTCCAAGTCTTTATTCTTCAGTTAGAATTTTGTGGATATCTTGAGAAATCTAAGTTTGACAGACTTTTCCTTTGTGGTATCTGTACCCAGTCTTTTTTCAAATCCTGGTGAATTTTGTAAACTTAGGTGTTCAAAAAAATACACAGAGAAATGAATGGATCTTGAGATGTGTATTCTGGGAATCGTGGTTGATCTTTCATTTACAAAGATGGGCTTAAAAGGGTTTTGAAGTTGAACGTAATAGCACACACCTGTAATCCCAGCACTCTGGGAAGCTGAGGAGGATTGCAAATCTAAGCTGTGAACATGGGCAGCTGAGTAACTTAATAAGCCCTTATCTCAGAGTTTTAGAATTTTAAAAGGGATGGCTCAGTGTGAAGGCCCTGCATTCAGTCCTCAGTACCAGAAGGAAAAGGGGAGGGGAATTTAAATCTGCATGTCAGTGTGCTGAATTGGGTGTCTCAAAAAATACATTGAAGTCCTAACCTCTTGTGCCTCAGAGTGTGATCTTACCCAGTAATAGTCTTTGCAGATTTAAGATAAAGCCATACAAGAGTATAATGGGTCCCTGATTCTCCATGCATCTTTATAAGAAAAGACTCATAAGAAGATGGAGGCATCTATTGGAGTAAGCAGCTAAAAGCCATTACTAAAGGATTACTCAAGAAACTAGAAGTTTAAGAGAAAGGTATGGAACAGGTGCTCCCCTGAAGCTGTTGAGAAAGTATAGTCCTGGCTGACACCTTAGTTTTATACTTTTTTCCCCCTAAATTATGAGAGAATAAATTTACTATTTTATGCCACATAATTTTTGATATGTTGTTAAAGATAGTCCTGTGAGACTGATACAGTAATAGGATTTGAGAACATACTAATTAGATGCAGGTACTTAATATGTTGTACCTTTTAAAGCTTACACAATAATTAGACATAAAATGATGTTAAATGCATAGACAGTACCTTCTAATTTTCTCTTGTGAACCATTTGTTTTTTGTACTCCTAGACAGGGTTCACATACCCCACTTAGAAGACTGCTCCTCTAAAAGATGCAGGTAATCAGGACAGCATGGTCATACTCTGAGCTAGACTAATTTTGAATTCTTCCTCTACTATAAAGTAGCTACATGACCTAGGCACAGCAGTTTCTTACCTGTGTTTGGGTTTTTTTTTTTCCTGGTACCAGGAATCGAACTCACGACCTCGCGCTTGCCAGGTAGTAGTCGCTGTGCCGCTGAGCTAAATCCCCAGCCCCCATTTTCTTATCTGTAAAATAGACATAATAGGTACCTAAGGTATTAACATTCAATATTTATAAAACAGAAGCATTCCTAACTTATAGTAAGCACTATATATGGTCTGGATTTTTGAGTTCCTTTTATGTTCGAGATGTTAACCCTCTGACAGAAGAGTAGCTAGCAAAGATTTTCTCCTATTCTATAAGTTGCTTCTTCACTCTGTTGTTTCCTTTGCTTTGCAGAAACCTTTTAAATGGATAAAAGTTCATTTGTTGATTCTTGATGTTATTTCCTGTGCTGTTAGAATCCTATTAAGGATGTCTTTGCATGTGCCTATGGCTTCAAGTATTTCCCTTGTCTTCTTTTAGAAGTTTTGAAATTTGAGTCTTATACCTAGGTGTTTGATCCATTTTGAGTTGATTTTCAATTTTTAATTAAGGGTAAGACAGGGATATGAGATATAGATACAGTTTTCACTTTTCTTAATGTGGATATCCAGTTTTTCCAACACCATTTGTTAGATACTTACATTTTCTCCAGCATATGTTTTGGCCCTCTTTGTGAGAAATGGCTGGAGTGTCTTCTGTTATATTATATTGGTCTATAGGTCTTTTTTTGTGCCAGTGCCATGTTTTTATGTTGTTACTGTGGCTTTGCCATATAAGTTGAAATCTGAAATTGTGATGCCTTCAGCATTGCTTTTTATTGCTTAGGATTGCTTTGGCTATTCTCTTTTGTGTTTCCATATGAATTGTACTATTGTTTT